GAGGGAGGTTGCGCGCCTGCGCAGAGTGGTCGCGCCAGCGCCTGTCCACGCCCCGCCCCGAGCCCCCCCCCGCGTTCTGATTGGCCCGGGGCGAGCTTTATGCAAATCTCCCCGCGGGAGGGGCGGGGCGGGGTTTGGAGACAGAAGTGGGCGTGGCTTGTGGTCGAGAAGGGGCGTGGCCACACGCCGAAGGGGCGGGGCTTTCCCAGCTCCACGTGGGTCCTTATAAGGGTCCCGGCCGATGCCAGCGGCTCAGTCGAGGCGCGTCCCCGCGGTTTCCCCGTGTCCCCCGGGCACCCGTGTCCCCAGGACCACCCGCCGCTTTCCCGGGACACCCCCGCCATGCCACAGAGCCTGCGCCTGCCCGCCCGGGTGGCCCTGCTGTCCCGCTGCCTGTCCGAGCTGGGGGTCCCCTGCCAACCCCCGGTCCCCCCAGCTGCCACCCGGGGTCCCCGGAGCCTGGCCGAGATGCCAGGGCCCAGTCCCGCTGCTTTCCTCTATGACCTCCTCTGCCGTGGGGGCCTGCGGAGGCTGCACGAGCTGCAGGTAATGGGGCGAAGGGGGAACGACCTGATGCGTTCCCCCCCCTGGGGCCGGGGACCTGGATCTTGCTCCCCTGGTGCTTGGAGGGGACTTGGGGACCTTGCTCCCACCCTCCTGGTGCTTGGAGGGGACAGTGGGATCCTGGTCTGAGTGCCCTGGGGCTTGGAAGGGACAGTGGGATCCCAGTTCCCATCAACCTGGGGCTTGGAGGGGACAAAGGGGGCCCGTTCCCACTGTCCGGGGGCATGGGGGGGACAGGGGGACCCTGCTCCCACCACCCTGGGGCTTGCTCAGGACAGGGGAACCCCAGTGCCACCGCTCTGGGGCTTGGAGGGGCTGGAGAGGACCCCAGTCCCACCACCTTGGGCTTCGCGGGGACAGCAGGACCCTGGTTCCACTGCCCTGGGACTTGGAGGGGACAAGGGGCCCCCGGTCTCACCTTCCTGGGGCTTGGTGGGGACAGCAGGACCCTGGTCCAACTGCCCCAGGGCTTGAGGGAAACGGGGAGGACTCCAGTCCCACCACACTGGGGCTTGAAGGGGAGAAGGGGACCCTGTTCCCACCACCCTGGGACTTGGAGGGGACATGGGGGACCCCATTCCTTCCACCCTGGGACATGGAGGGGACAAGGGGACCCTGGTCCTGTTGCCCTGGGACTTGGCAGGGCCAGGGGGGTCCTCGGTCCCACCTCCATGGGGCTTGGAGGGGACAAGGGAACCTTGCTCCCACCACCCTGGGGCTTCAAAGGGGTAGTGGGACCCCAGTCCCACCAACCCGGGGCTTGGAGGGAATAGGGGGACCCCGTTCCCACCACTCTGGGGCTTGGTGGGGACAGCAGGATCCCAGTCCCGCTGCCCTGGGGTGCAAATGAGATGGGGGGGTCCCTGGTCCCACCGCCTTGGGGCTTGGAGGGGATGGGGGGACCCCCATCTCAATCCCTGGGACTTGTAGGGGACAGGGACCAGCCCTGGGCTCTCACCGAGCCACGGCTGCTAATGGTTAACCCCTCACCGGGCACCCAGGCTCCCGGGGTGGGTGGGCAGCAGCACCCAGGATGGGCCCCAGGGCCACCCACGGGTGGGCACAGCGGGGCTGAGACCACCAGGACCGCCTCACCCCATGCCACAGCCAGTTCTTTCCTATCCAGCATCTCCCCGAGGCTCCGGGTCCCTTCTCCGAGGACACCCCAGGGACACCCTGGTGCCATGTCCCCTGTGTCCCCACAGGTGGAGGGCCGTGCCCGCTATGGGCCGGTGTGGAAGGCGAGCTTCGGGCCCATCCTGACGGTGCACGTGGCGGAGGCCGGACTGATTGAGCAGGTCCTGCGGCAGGAGGGTGACTTCCCCGTCCGTTCCCACCTTTCCTCCTGGAAGGATTATCGCGTCTGCCGCGGGCATGCCTGCGGGCTGCTCACTGCGTGAGTGGGGTCTGGGGGCTGCTCGTGGGGTCTGGGGGCTGTGCAAGGGCAGCTTGGGGCTGCATACAGGGGTCTGGGGGCTG